TGAAATGAATAAGCCTCAGGCTGAAGGGAAAGTAAATTTACGTCCGTACAGTAGAATGCAGAAGAAGAAATATCAACACACTTCAGCAATTAAAAAAGACACACAAATGTTTGTCTAGAACTCGCGTTACTTGTAATGCGTTACCCCCAACACTGGTAGTAAGTATATACTGATATTGTATTTGAAACAGCCTCTTCTTGACTTATTATTAGTTGTAAATCAAACACAATGATCAAATTAACATCCATGTATTTACAGTGTTTGACATGTTTATCATTGCACACGGTTTCACACACTACATTTGTATTACGCGAAATGCAGCACATAGCGCGCAGCAACTATCGCTCGTGAAATCACGTGACCATAAAGTAGCACACTATCGTTCCATTTGACACACTACTTCATTAGTACGCATCAACACACCGTCTGCCGTGTCATCCGTCTCCTCGTCGTGACTGACTGACACCTCGATGTCAGTGGATCTGCTCTCATTTCGCGTGTCCTCGATGGACGTACTCTGGGGCTCTTCGAGTTTCACGTTGTTGTGAAGCGTCAACGCGTCCGCGGGGCGGTTGCTGCCCCAAATGGACTTGCAGAGATCATAATAATTCCAGTACACTCTGCCGTGCCCGTTGTTTTTGTGATGCTCGAGTATTTTCAGGAACTTCTGCTTGAGTGTTTTCAGTTTGGTGGTGACCTGTCGCTTGGTTCTGTGGATCCCTTGCGCCTTGAGAAGCCTTGAGATTTCAGCGTAAATAAGAGAATCGCGAACCGTTCCGCTGATTTGCCTACTGATTTCTTCGTCCTGTTTCTCTCAACATGGGGACAGGAGAGCTGTCAATCAATAAATTGGAAAAAAAGTAACTTGCGTTACTTATTTGAAAAAGTAACTCAGACATTCTCTTGTAAATTAAAATGTAATGCGTTACTTTACTAGTTACTTGCAAAAAAGTAATCTGATTACGTAACTCGCGTTACTTGTAATGCGTTACCCCCAACACTGGTAGTAAGTATATACTGATATTGTATTTGAAACAGCCTCTTCTTGACTTATTATTAGTTGTAAATCAAACACAATGATCAAATTAACATCCATGTATTTACAGTGTTTGACATGTTTATCATTGCACACGGTTTCACACACTACATTTGTATTACGCGAAATGCAGCACATAGCGCGCAGCAACTATCGCTCGTGAAATCACGTGACCATAAAGTAGCACACTATCGTTCCATTTGACACACTACTTCATTAGTACGCATCAACACACCGTCTGCCGTGTCATCCGTCTCCTCGTCGTGACTGACTGACACCTCGATGTCAGTGGATCTGCTCTCATTTCGCGTGTCCTCGATGGACGTACTCTGGGGCTCTTCGAGTTTCACGTTGTTGTGAAGCGTCAACGCGTCCGCGGGGCGGTTGCTGCCCCAAATGGACTTGCAGAGATCATAATAATTCCAGTACACTCTGCCGTGCCCGTTGTTTTTGTGATGCTCGAGTATTTTCAGGAACTTCTGCTTGAGTGTTTTCAGTTTGGTGGTGACCTGTCGCTTGGTTCTGTGGATCCCTTGCGCCTTGAGAAGCCTTGAGATTTCAGCGTAAATAAGAGAGTCGCGAACCGTTCCGCTGATTTGCCTACTGATTTCTTCGTCCTGTCGGATGTACAGCAGCGCCCTCGTCTCGGTGTCCGTCCAGTTTCTTTCTACTGACATTTCTTCATACATTTCGCGGCGTGGAAATCTTAGGAAATCACGTAAAGATTTCATTTACACACAGCATCAGTTGATTCACGACTCGCGCGTCACGTAGGCCTGCAAGTTCATGACGTATGTGCGTCAGTCGTTCTGAACGTTGTGATTGGCTCAGACTCTAGCAGCCCTCTGGCGTCATGCGTCCGACACTTGAAATGTCACAAATCGTTCATTTATTTCACATATACAGGTGCATCTCAATAAATTAGAATGCTGTGGAAAAGTTCATTTATTTCAGTAATTCAACTCAAATTGTGAAACTCGTGTATTAAATAAATTCAATGCACAC